AGTTCGAACTTATTACAGATAACGATTCTTTTAAATACTAACCACTGTTCGCCCTCATTCTGTTTCGCTCTCCTCCTGCGCTCCTAACTCACCATCCTGTACTTGTCTACTCGAAAGGAATTCATAAGAAAATGGCTGCGAGTCGCCTCCATCAACTTCATTCTGCGTTTTGATAGGTTATGGGTGGTTGCGTGAACTTAATTTTGTTGTGTCCGTTGCGACACACGTCGAGTTCAATTTTTATTAATTCAACAGAAAATATCGACACTGGTAGTTATGGCTCCCAGTCTATGATTCTTCTGTTGGTGCTGACCGGGGTACCACGGTCAGTACGGTCCGCAAGGCCTTCAGACTCCACGTTCCTCGAGACGCTGCCGAAGCTGCTGATGGGGGAGATGTCGATCCTTCATGTGTCGGCCACACAGTCCTGTCGATCGCCACACACTGCCCTAACTTCTCCAGTCGATCTACGCTCCAGATCCGGGTTGCCCGTTGGAACGCTTTCGAAAGGGGAGAGCAAGATCACTTGCTCCCAACAAATTTTTGTTTATATTTTGGTGCTCTTTAGAATTTATGGAGCATGGGTGGTGTCAAAAGGTAAAGGGGAAAGGAATGGAGGAAAAAGGAAGGTTTGGCTTTCCGAGGAGGTTTGAGACTTACCCGTATATGTAGGATGAAGCCACAGAGCAGCCACGGATTTTGTCCTCGAATACTCAAGTTGTCGTTTTTTTCCTCAATATTCTGCACAAGCATGTGCTGCTGCCCAAGCTAAAATTTTTGTTGAGCTTAAATTAAATCAAAGCTAAAACTTCTTCCTAGGGTTAGTACTGTTTGAAGTTGGCGCCAAGTAGTATTTGCCAACTCCAACTTCCAGATGACAAATGGCAAATTGTCTGCCCTTTCGAAGGTTGCTTCCAAACAAGCTGATAGAGGTTTTAATTCTCTGATGCATGCTTTCTGTAACTTTTCGTCGAAGCAAGTAGAACCAGTGGCAAATGGATTAGTTCGGAGCTGGACGCTTGACCTTTTGTTCTTGTAGCCCAAAGGGCAGGGTCTGCGTTTGCGCTACTGCATGCTGTAGAATTGTAGTTTTAATTTTAGATGATGCGTGTTTATGTAAAAAGTAAGAAACCACCCAAATGAAATCATTTATCTGCAGCAATAAGCAACGCGATGCAAGAAACATAAGTACACTTAAAACACGAAAATATCTATAGTGCTGCAAAAAAAAACAGGCACATGCAACTTGTAGCTGATGGCGCTGTTATTTTCAGGAACGATATGATTTTTGTAACATTATCATTGGAAAAATAAACCATTTAAGAAAGGTTTTTGCAATATACACTAAATGTTTGTTCAAAAAACTTCAAGCTAGTGAGTTGCCTTATCGTCATCTAAGTCAGCAACACTGGAATGGGAGTAAAGCCGAGTACACATATGACTTCAAGTCTTGCCTAGTGTTTTTGGAAGCATCACAAAAGTGGTAATTCCTTCAGGAGGTCAAACAGACATAAGGTCCGTTAGCAAGCCGAGCACAGGACGGTTGGTCAAGGCAGCTGAAAAAGTTACCAGTGCATAACTGGAAAACAATGCATATCAAACTATCAAAATGTGCTTCTGACTGTTTTTGAAAGCTTCAGACGGCTTCCATCAGAAGCATCACATGCAAAATTCACAGTAGGCTTATGCAGTGTTTATGCATAAGCATTCCACAAAAAGAAGTTATTGTTGGCTGCATTTCGATTTTCGTCAACAGACCGCTTCCTTTTGCCATCAAGGATAAGATTTGCCGCAGCACCAGCAGCTGCACCTTTCAACATTCGCTTTATAGCTCCTTCCCTGCAAAATATATTTATAATGTAAAGCTGAACTAAACTGCGAAGATGAGCAGTATGCATGAATTTTTCCATAAGATATGGCGAAACGCGTTGACTAAAAACTGCTACATACAGCAGCACCTCTTGATGACCTTTTGACCAAACTGATGCACACCAAAAGTAGTAAAATCTGTTCTGTTTTGAATTATAAAATTTGCTTTATCTTGAATTAGCTTGTTATGAAATGTCTTTGTTAGGATATTGACCCATACTTCATAAGGTCATCAATGGCGGGAAAGTTATTGGTAGCATTTTTTACTCGGAATGACTTCTCGAAAACAACACAGCTGGTTTGAAAAGCTTAAGTCTCCATGTAGAAAAGAAGATTGATGCGAGCGATGAATTTAATTGAAGAAGTTTTAGTTATCGATGAATTGGCAAGGAAGTCCTTCAGCTTTTGTATTTTCGAACTCAACAAATAATCTTTTTTTGTTGTCCGTTTTTGAAGTTCCAATCAGAAATAAAAAAAGAGGACTTTAAAGCTGATCCCAAGCTATTAATTACATCTTACGTGACTAACTAATTCAAAATTTTTATTTTTTTCCTGTTTATTGCCCGTCCTTTTGAAGGGAGGGAGGGACAGGTTTGTTGTTCAATTTTCTTTCAGACGGTGGCGGCAAGACGTTTAAGTAATGTGGTGAAGGAGGCCGCGCTAGTGATAGGAAAATTGGAGTTTTAAGACTGGAGTCATAAATGATTCCAGTCTTAAAAAGGTTAAGGGATAAATGATAAGGGATAAGGGATGAGATTAGTCATAAATAAAGGGATAAGAATAAGATTTTAAGTTGTTTTGACCTCAGGGATTTGAATGTTTATGATCTGCCGAAACAAATAGAGGAATGAAGATACAAGAATTTACTAATATAAATAGAGGATGGAAATGTAATTCCCATTTTAATTGCTGGCGACGCGCATCGGGCGGGCTTGTGCGATCACGCGTTTTTGAGGTATTTCCCGCTGCAGTAGGATTGCTTGGAATGCCAGGAAGTAGAATTTGGGACAAAGTGATGCTCGAAGCTCAGGAAGTTAATTTGCACAACTACGTGGTACTTGGTCACCGAAATTCCCTCAAAGTTTCGCTATTCTCTTATGGTTCTCGAGTTAGCATTTTTCCCGTCGAAACTTTTATATGCTCGTGCGCAAGGTCCAGATGTGCTTGAAGTTTGGTACTGCACTCCTGGAGTAGTATTTGGCTGGAGAACCCATCTGCAACATTTTAGCGCCAGAGCTTATTTGGTTGCCGAGTTGAAATACCAGGACAAACATACACATGCAGAAACACCAATGGTCGTCACAATGCGCGTTCTTGCATTTGCATATGTGCAAAAATACAAAAGAAAGAACAAATTTTAAAATTTTATCAGACTCTTTCTCAACACTAACTTCTTTGGTTGACTGCCTCCACTGTCATGATGACCTGCAATATGGATACAAAAGCATTGTGATGCTCAAAAGTTTTCAGAAAAAATTTTTTTCTATTACACATTAATTAAATTGCTGCGTTTATGCCCTTTTTCCTGTAAAGTTGGCGTAAAAGTGAAATTTGAGTTAAAACCAATAAATAAACCTCAAAATCGGTTCAAGTTTTTTATCAGGCATAGGTATATGTATCACGGGCGTCTGCCAAAGCCAGAAATCACACATTGTGTGTGCGCTTACATTAAGTGTATGCCACACTATTGTCTATAGAACAATAGGCCCAGTACTCCAAAAGAAGAAGCGTACGATGTAAATTCTTCAACTTTAACTGCTGTGGAGTGCCTTTTTTTAGAATATCCCGCGTCCGGGAACAATTCAGCCCTAGATAATTGGAAATGGATGTTTTCTGACATCAGCAAGAAAAAAATATTTAGCGTTCGACACGCTTAAAAGGAAATTTTATCTGTTAAGCTGGAAAGTATTGCTGATCTGTTTTTTAGCAAAACATTCTTTACGTCTAACAATAATGACAGTTTCGTTCACACATATGCTTGCTGTGGTCTTCTGTGTCTGAAAGGTTTATTTATGAACTAAGTAAAACACGGCAGCGAAAATACGAAAAGTGGTCCTCTAACAAGTATGGGAAAAAAACTTACATTCATGTTCAGGTTTCTTCCTGCCCTGCTTCCTACTAGTTATTGTGGGGATAATGCTTTAATACGAGAAACAAAAAGAAACTACTTGAAGTTTTGCGCGAATAATGTTAGTGAGCAGTCAGTCTATCTGTGAAATAGTGATACGAGCGCACAGTACATGCAGTAGTTAATAATTGAAAGTAATTAATTATTACAGAAGAGCTTGCATAACAGTGACCAGCTGTAATGGGCACAAACTCATTTGCCTGCCGAACAGGTCATTGTAATGTTGGAAAAACACTTAACATTAAATAGCTAACCAACTTACCAAGGCCAAAAATTGGCTCAGGTTTTGCAAAAGCTGACTGTAGAATGAGCAAGCTGACAGCCACCAGTATGCAATACTTCATACCTGAAAACAAGCAAATGCAGTACTGATCACTGAATAGTGTGAAACAGTGATTGTAACAAACCCGCACAAAAAATATCATTTTAGATAAGAATTTTCATCTACCAGGAAGATAATTATTTATAGTTTTCAAAGAACACCTACCTGATATTTTGATCGTCTGCCTTTCACAGTTGGTTTTCAGCTTAGACTGCAACTTTTTTAGTTTTTTAGCAACAATAATTTTTCCTATAACTGTTCATATTAGCAACTATA